GGGGGGGGGCGGGGGGGGGGAGCCAAATGGGCAATTGCCCATTCAAATTTGAAGCTTGCCCATTGTAATTTTTATTCATAAGCTTCTGCCCATTGAACTTTTACTACGCCATAAATTTCACACTGATACTTTAATTATTTAAAACCCCTCTTAACAAACATCTCCATTTTCAAAAAAGTTTTTCAGAAGTTTTTGCAGTATTTTCATAAAAATATCATCGAGAAGCGAGATTTTTCCATAAAAAATGCGTATATTCTTTCGATATTTGATGTAAAACCTTCGAAATCCCATGAAAAATCATCTCAAAATCTCTGAAAGCTTTTTAAACATCTAATCTAAATCTTCAAAAACCTAAAAACTTAATAGAATAGCCCTTCAAGCTTTTTTTTTAGAAAGACAGTTAAGAATCGTTTGTTCCTATATGAATTATAGGTTTATTCTTTTCAATTGTTTTCCTGAAAAGTAGACAGGAGAAAGTGAAGCAAAAAAGTAGAGGTAGTTTAATCGTCTAGATACTTTTCTTTTTTTATAGTCTTTCAGATTTTTTTCAGTACATTACTATGGAAAAAACAATACGACATAATGAACTTTTTTCTTTTTTGTATGATAAAATAGTCAAAAACATTCATTTTCTATTGTCGCGTTTTTTATGTAATTAACTCTTATAAAGTTAGAAAGTTTTGGCCCGGCGACAAAAATCTTGCCCACTCTTGCCCAACTTTCTTTTACCCATAAGCAAAATTTGCCCAGTCGTCAAAAAATCCTGGTTACGCCACTGCTCTCAAGTAGTTTTTGAAACAAACGTCTAGTCGTTCGTCGACCTCTCTCCTGTCGGTCACTCACGACTAGCCCTTGCCACCCTACCTCTGTTATGCCTTTCACATTTGACTAACTTTTAAACTGAATAGCTGTGCTTCATTTCATTGTGGTTTCGAAAGTGCTGATCTTCTATCTATTTGATCCTGAAAAGAAAATAGATAAAAGTTTTATTTTATTATTTGCTGTGAAAAGAACACGCATCATAATGCACCCTATGTTTAGAATACTATTTGTATAGGCCCTGTCTTTGTAGTTAATAAGATGCAATTGCACTTACGGGTATATCACTCTGGCTCATATTTCCACTAAATTCCTATTGGAAGACTAGACGTATCGCAGCCTAGAAGACACAAATGGTATTAAGCTTATACCACTTTTTATGATTTCTTGGACTAGAAATATCATGATGTATGGTATATTAAATCTTCTTCTGTAAACTTCTAAACTACTCTATTGGTCCACATCACATCCAGCAGTAGCGTTGAAACCACTACCTTCTACAAAAGGTTTTAGGGCGATAGAGAAAAATATCTCTTCTGAAAAAAACGAAAGAAGCCGAAGGGTCGTGACTAAGAAAAAATTAACGTCATTATAACGAACTTGAGAAGAGAAGTGCCCGTGATATGATGACACACGCTTTATTTGGCTTCTTCAGGTAACAAGCTCCTGTTTAGTTATGAGATACACGCTTATATAGGCAACAGAGAACAATGGATATCAGCCAAGTATAGCGGTCATGCTAGTGTCGATGAGTCAAGGTCGCATACAGGTCAGAATATAGCAATATATCCCGTTACAGTCATATTTGAGTTCTTCGACCTCGATTTCCTTCGGTCAACCCTTACTCGATAAAAAATTCTTCTCCTTACTTAATTAGTCAGTTAGCTAATTAGCTAATTAGAATTTTAAGAAACTAACATCAGATTCGAAATCCTCGACTCCAATTACCTCCTATCAATCGTTTTCTAATAAGTACGGTTAG